TGCCGCTAATGTTCCCTTGGGAAGTTGTTCAGGGAAAAGGCTAATATCTGCAAACCATTCAAGCTCTCCAAACCCTACAGGAGGCTCCTTCTGGAATTGCATGCAAATCAAAGATAAATATGACTAATTAGGATCCAAAATAACTTAAAATGAGTACATAAGTAGGTAACTAAGTGTGAGCTCCTAGCCTCGTACCTTATCACCAGATTCATAGTCAGATAGCTGGAGGAACTCATCAACAGCCCATGCAGAGTTCATAAAGGATGATGGGCTTGCTTGGGTTATAGGAATCTTGGACTCCAATGTTGCAAAATTTTGGTTTGGTGGCTCATGACAACCTTTCTCAGTGTCCTTGTTGCACATGGAACTTAGGGCCACACGGATACCAGTTGCTAGGTAACGCTGGTGATTGCCTGACAAACTACCAGCGACATGGATAGTCTCATCACAATCACGACAGAAAAGGGCTCTATCCTCCACACAGAATATAAAAGCCGTCTTTTCCTGGTAAACATATGAAGGAAAGAAAAACAAAGGAATTAGTGCACATGTACCGTGTTCCCTGAATTAACCTTGATAAACCCCTCAAATTGCTTATAATTTTGTATGCCTGAGGTCAAGTACATGCTACAAGGAAATGTGCACTGAGGTCAAGTACATGCTACAAGGAAATGTGCACGGGGCAGTGAATTTCCTTCTTGGTCTCTAAACTCTCTATTAAAAGACTTGCTTTTGTGACATCCGAAGTAGATTGCTAGAACTTTTACTGATCGACAATGTTCATCTGTTTTAAAACACTGGATACTTCTACCGGAATCCTTTTAATCTTCACCGTGCCATGGTAGAAGTTTGACAATAGAATGCCACATGAGAGTTTCCTAAAGAAATTTTAAAAGTTGTTGGAATATGATGAATTAGTTGAAGATAGTCACTGTGGAACCATGTACAGTAAGTCCAGAATGATAGGTGATGTCATGTGCCATTTGGTTGAGCAATTTTTTCTTGTATGTGGAATTTTCTAAACAAAAATATTGAACTTCAAGACAGAAAGCTTTCAGAATATAAATATTGCTGTCCAGGAATGATCTAGATGTCTAGAGCGTTTCCTCACTAGCTAATTTGATGAGAATTTAAAGGGGAGGAAAGAGAAGCATTCGTATCTACTTCAAAGCATATGGCTAATGTGATACTAAAACTTCTCTCAGTATAAATCTTAGAAACTTGATCTTATTGAAGATAAAATGAGAGAGAATGGATGGAGATGGTTTGATCAGGCTTCTAAATACAACAATTGCATGTTGATAAGATTGCAGTTACAATTAATAGAGTAAGACAAGTAGCTATAAAGGTAGGCCTAAAAGAACTTGGTTGTAAGAATTAAGAATGATAGGATAGTGGTTCACTTAATGGAGAACATCACCCTTAACAAAACTGAATCGGAAGGATTGGATTCACGTAGCAAATTTTTGGATAAAAACTTTGTTATTGTAAAGCTACAGTTCAAATATACTAACTCAAGAATGTGTGAACAACCAACATGTGATGCCAGCAAGCAAGTATCAAGCTGAATTTAGCACATAGTCTTGTAGTTCGTAGACATTCTAATGTTATCTTAACTAGTGGAAAAGAGAGAAACGTATTGCACGAAGGATAAAGATGAAATTGTTACAGGGTTGTATTATCGACTTCAATTTTATTAAGGTGATGCTTTTATTTTTAGATGGTACAATTTTTCGTTAGCCCAGCCCAAAAACATTAGAAGACTGCATACGGAGAGTTGATTAATGATATGATCTAGTAACAGTGTAGAGATATTAGGAAAAGGCTTAGGGGATTAGGATAATGTTGACTGGCCAATATTTCTCATTTTGATCCTTTAGTCCAGGTTAGACTTTTTTGTTTATTCCCTGATTAACAAATCTGGGAACCCATAATTTAATCAATAACTACTATCAGAAAGCTCCATCCAACTAGTCATTTTCATGCTCCTTCAGACGATGAATAAATCAAAATATCACCATAATGTTTCTTGTTACACAAGCCTGTCATATGATTGGTTGACATTTTAATTTGAAATATTGTTATTCCCTTTCTCATTGTTTCTTTCTACTCATTTTTTAGTGATTGCGGTAACGATTTTGCATCAAAATGCATAGATAGCTTTTGTAAACCTTAAAGCTAATCAAATTGCTAAAAGAGAAGGAGAAACATGAAAATCTGATATTAGCAAAAAGACTAAAGTTTTGTGTGTTGTTACTTGGCAGATATCGCACCGAGGGAGCTTGTTGGAGAGGCAGTCAAGGAGTAGCCTCTGATGCTTGCTTGCAAGCTTGTTTGCTGCATGAACCTCCACATCACACTTCTCACAAAGCGCAGCCTCATCAGCACAGCATATCACAACGGCTGGTGCCTTCTCACAAGCATCACACTGAATCTTCATCATCAAAAACCCTTTTCTTTTCTTTTTAACCCCTTCTTTGTTTCAAAGGCTCAAGTGATCATATGACTGAAACTGAGGAAATCTTGAGGAAAGGGGGATCTGGCTCTCAATGGCGGAGGAGAGGATAGAGTATCGATTGAGTTGTGATACTCTGTATCCTTTGCAGTTGTGAAGAGAACTTGTGGTTGTGGCTGCGCTCCTTGAGCTTGTGGTTCTCTTTTGTTTTATTAAACACTAGTATCTCCTACTTGCAGACCTGTCACTGTCCGTTATAACTACATTGATTTGTGTTGGCATGATGAGAGAAGTGTAGCAGTTGGATGGAGCCCAGGGAGGGGTCGAACTTGTGATCCCTTTTGGGCTCCTCGTTGAAATGCAAGCTGTATTATTGTCATGCTATGTTTTCTTATGATTAAAGATTGTGTGACCCAATATCTTGTGGATGGTAGGGGTTTTGAAACTGCAGCCATTGTTTTATATTAAATCATCATGTACATTGCATTTGATGGTGTTCAGTAGATCCAACATTCCTAAACTTGGACCACACCACTACAAGGTTTTTTCCTTTTCATGAAATAATCCTCTTTTTGTAGGGAAGTTGAATCTCAACACAGGATAATAGACTTGATAAAATATGATAAGAATATTTCGTTCTCTCTTGTAGCACTTGTGTCTCTTTATAATAATAAAACTTTTATGAAAATAGTAGATCAAGATTGGTTTTGTGCACCAATTAATTTTTGTTGTCTTGTTGTTTCTTAGTTTTGTGTAACTTGAGAGTTTTGGTTCATGATGCACTGAGATCAGAGGTAACAATCCTCATACCCAACACAGAGGAGATATAGCTTCTCATATTTAAAACAAAACAAAACAAAACAAAACAAAGGGGTAGTACTGTTTTGTAGCATCATTTATTCAATGAACCTTAGAAATTTACCATCACTCCTTATTACATTACTCTCATAACAATAAATTGTTGTCATTCAGAACTGAAGAACAACCCCTTCAACATATATGTCAACCCACTCACGAGGTTAAACAAGAAGGAAATATATACATATTTTCAAGCTTCACTAGAGACTGAAGCAAGAGCTACCGGTCAATTTGGAATGGAATCATCCTGTCAGGATTTGAAACGAATGGAGTTAGATTCTTGATCATATCTTTCTCCTCTATTACCGTAGATAATCTACAATCTCAATGACACTGTGTCATCAGCACCACTTCCCAGATTAATCGCGTAAAACCTGTAGACCGATGAGCATATCGATACTTGAATTGTTCAGAGTCACCTACTGCTTGCGTTTGTCGGAGCCCATAGATCAGCACCATTGCTTCGAGCAATTTTCAGTGTTGAAGATATCGGCATAAGGCAAAGGCCTCGACTTCTTAAGATGCAATGCTCCTCATCCTGAATAATTAAAAGTGACTTTTTAGAAATTGTTAGATCATACATTTTCATCATATTGTGGTCCATAACTTATAGCTACATAGCCTGTATCAGGTACATCTTGCTCCGAGTTAACTATAGAGCAACCTTCTTTATGCCTATTTAAGCTTCATGTTGTGGAGCTAAAAATGATACCAGAGTAAAGTAAATGTAAATTAAGTAGCAAATCATTCCCCTTTTTTATGGTTATTTTCTACATCGCTATAAACAGAAACCCATGAAAATTTCTATAAGCATTCTTCTATGGGCTAGTTCTTCTCTAAAAGAATCTAGATTTGCTCTGATACTATCTCAGAATTCTTGTCATTACATCAAAACTCTGAATTGATAATTGAAAATTATAATTTTTGTACTCTTAAAGAGTTGCAAACACTGGCTAATCTATTTACACTCTAGGGGTGCAATAAAAATTTTCAAATTGCATCTAAAGTGTCGTAATGTTTACACCCCTCAACCCCCCCTTGAAAAAAAAACACTAATTTTTAAAAATTGCATCCCAAGACCCATTGAAAAGTAGAAACCCATTAAAATTTTCAAGAATAAAGATATGCATTCCCCGTCGGGTACTATAGTTTTATAATATTATATTTTTATTTTTAGGTAAATATACACTTGTCCTCCATCCCCCAAGAAAAATTTTCTATATCTGCCACTAGTTATATATACAGATATACTTCATCACTATAGGTTTAATTAACCCATTGCTATTTTCTGGATTTGCAAAGTACATGGGATGATGATTCCTCACCTGAATGTTGCCATCTGGTCCTGTTCTAAGGTATGGAGCACTCAGCACCTGAACATTTTGAAATTTTAAGTCAATCTTTCATTGCGAATTAAAAAAAAAAGAAAGAACCATAATAACAGCGGGAAATAGAAAAGGTAACACCCGCCTGAAGTTGCTCATGAAGAAATTTGATATATCCTGTTGCCTCCTGAAGCACTGAAGCTGTATCTGTCTGCAATATTCATCACAATATCCATTTCCATCTTTAGTTTAACAAATTACATAACTACTAAGAAAATATTACTTGGCAGTTCATATTCATTGGTTAATTGGTACACTAATATAGAACAATCCATGATTCAATTCATTAGTCCTAAACGTGTCAGTATAGTACTGATACAAGAATAGACAGTCCTTGATGTACCAACCGTCCGGTACATACAGATTAAAACGAGTACCAACCTTTCCAAAGGGAGAGACAAGCTGTTGCAAGGCTGCCACCCTCTCTCCTACCTTGTCCTTCTTCTCCTGCTCACAACAGAAACCTACATCACGACCAATTCTAACAAATAAAGGTAAGTTACTAGAGAGAGAAAGAGAGAGAGAGAGAGGAGAGAGACTGAGACCTTGGGAGAGATTGAGCCTGCCCCAGTTTTAACTCTCTTAGTAGAACAACCCCCTTCTTCACTTGCTTGAACAGTACTAAGCATGAAGCCATCATTATGGTATCTTCTCTTTTGATCGCTCATCTCAGTCATCATCATCATTTTCTCTTTCTGTAAGTTTTCAAAATGGTGGTTTGATCTATAGATTTCAATTTCTAAGAAGTTAGGTTGGATGCATGGATTATATGATAAGGGGATAAGATAATTAAGCGCGCATGCTCATGCAAACAAGTGCATGATTGCTATTGTTGAAAATTTAATGATTTCAATGTAAGAAATTGATGACTATTTGGCTAAAAACTAGTTGAAACTTTTATATTTCCAGGGTTATTGTGATTCCTACAAATCATGGAGTATGTTCTATAATTTACTCATTATATTTTTTTTTTGGTGTACGGCTTCAAGTTCAGCCTACAACTGGCAATCTAATCGCTCAAGTTTGAGGTTTCTTGTCCTTTTGTGTTGTCTCCTTGCCCCCTTTCCTATCTACTTCAAGAACTTGTTTATCTTAATTTATTATGATGTTTTAATATTAAACAAGGGAAAGTGTTAACTACGTTAGGTGTGAACAAAATTGGTCATTGGGAATTTTCCTTTGCAAATAAATTTTGGGGTTCATGCACCAAAACTTAGAATATATATATTGCATCCCAAATATTTAACACTTTGGTAGGTGTTGGATATGCTTTCAGATTTGTGTATTTGAAATAGTTCCTAATTTTCTACTGCTCGTTGTTTCTAGCTTCTTGATTTCTTCTAATTTCCACAATTGGACCAAATTAGAAATGGAGAAATTAGAGGATATATATATTTTTTTCTTCTAAAACATGGGGGAGAGTTTTCTCTTTGATATAGAGATGCCCCTCAAGTAATTAAAACAATAACCTTCTTTAAGCTAAAGGGGGTTTATTTGATCATCATCAAATTGAGATTTGCAGTCCTCTAATGTGAAATTCTTCCACAATCCTTCTCATATTGGATAATAAAAACACATATATTAAGGAAAAACAAAACCCATCTATACTTTGAACCTGTGATCTTTGTCATCACAAGTAAGCATTTCATTGATATTTTCAAAATTGACTTTGATGGGTCTAATTCAATTTCCATAAAAACGTGCAATTATGCACTTATATGTGTGTTAGAGAGAGAGAGAGAGAGAGAGAGGAGAGAGACTCACCAGTGAACAGACCAACTTCAACTTCAACTTCAGTGAGAAGTAGAGAAAGAGAGAGAATTGTGGATAGAGAGAGAGAGAGAGAGAGAGAGAATTGAAGGGTTTATGCATGAAGGGGGTTTATATACAAAACAAAACCCTGTTTTGTCCTTAAAAGAAACTATATAAAACATTTGAGTAAACACAGTTGATTTCAACCTTCAGAGGCTAATATTAGGTTATCTTTTCACTGACAGCTAATATCCAGCACATGATGAGGGCCCCCGGTCAGCATCTTCAGCTGATGTCATCCTCTGTTAACTCTCCTCTGTTCGCCCTTGTCGTGTTTACGTGTTTGAGTAAACACAATTTTCTTTTTGTTTTTCTTTGCATAGGAGAATATTTATTGTTTGTTTGACTTTATAGGTTACGTACTTCGGTATTATGTTGAAGAGTACAAATTTTATGAGGGTCAATTTGAAAATTTAAACTGTTTTCTTTATGGTTCAAGGCAACAGGCTCTGTTTCGTGATAACAGTTTATAGCTTATTCTTGGACAATGACATAGTAATTATTCTCCAGTAGCAAAATATACTTATCTAGGTATTAAATGCAATGGAGTTCGATAATTTGATAAACTTTTGGTCTTGATCGATAGTAGGTGAAAAATTATCATCTATGATTATAATAGTAGAAGGTAATTTATCATTTTTGTTGAATTACATGTACATAGACATAAATAAAATGGACATTCCGAAATTGCTTCGAGATACATTCCTACAGTTCAAGCCCATCGCTAACAATTGTCGTATCTAAATTAAGGAGCGAAGGTTGTTTCCACGACGGGACCATCCTGTTTTTCCAAGATAAATGGTAATCATAGAAATCGATCAACTCTTTCAATTGAGATAATTCATGCTCAAAGTATTCACATGAATGTCGATGCATTTTATTAAGGACCAACCCTATAGCCTCTAACTCTTGTTCATGAGTGCATTAAAAAAAATCTATGATTTAATAAGAATAGCATAAATTCTACAACAGTCAATTTTCTCAAGAAATATAGAATTTAAATTTTTTTAATATCTATCTACACTCTAGAAAAGAAAAACGTATTAATTCGAATTTGACAAGTGAACGACCCTATAATTATTAAGTAGTTAATAAATAGAAATGCAAAAAGAAACAAAGTGATTTATTAATCTATTTAGTGTTATTAATCAAACACAGTAATTACTACAACTCCTCATTTCTTATTCATTTCTTGGCGCGAAATCGCTTCCCGCAATTCGCGGTATCAGGTTGTCCCTTTAGGATACGCGGGCCCACCGCAGCTGCTCTTCTGACTTAAAACTTTGTTCTCTTTTCAAACAGAAATAATAAACATATTAATTTCGCGCGGGACCCACACGTGCTGATTGTGTCACCCAGTGTGGGGTCCACGCGCTTGCTTTAATTTCTTTTTGCCCTTTTTTCCCCTTGATAGTAAGGACATCTTTAAGGGATCCCTACAATCTTTCTTAATCTAATTAGACTTTTAAAGGGAATATTATCTTCCAATGGTTCCCCCTTATAACCCTACCCCTTAATTATTCATATTTAGTGTTTTAATTTTATAGATTATGATTTAATTAAATATGTGGTTTATTTATAAACGAATAAATAATTAAATATTAATAACTAAAATTGATTAATTAATTAATTTAAATTAAGAAATTACATTATATAATCATTAAATTAATTAATCATATTAAAATTTAACAAATAATTAATTTATATCATAATTAATTTATATACATTAACTCAATTATTTTATTTTGAATTAACTATAGATTAACTAAATTTGAGTAACTATACATTAACTCCATTAAAAAAATATTATATAAAATTATACGGGGAAGGTTAAGGGACTTTAACATTCCCCTTAATTTGGGGAGAGAGTTAAGGGGTTTGGGGTGAAGGGGAAAGTTTTCCGGCTCGTTGGAACAAGTTCTCTACGATCCCCCTTAATTTAGCTAAGGGATCTGATTTTTCCGGCCCCATTGAGATGCTCTAATAGGTTTTGTATCTTTGCAATACATCAATTATTTTTATTTTTTCTCTCTTTTGTATTTAGTATGATTTTATTATATATAAAGTCATCCCCTTACCTGCTACTGTCTTATAATATTATATTATTATACTTATGTGATTTATTGTAGATCTTGTTGTATAGATTAGAGTAGGAGAGAATCTTCATGATTAAAATGATTGAAAAGATTATCACATCCTTGATGACACGAGGACCTAGGATTCTTTTGAGAAACTTATCATTTGTTTATTTATGTGACATAATTTCCTTTTGTTTTTTGGGCTCTAGTTATATATTGCAAACGAGCTCGAAGGGAGAAAAAGGTCATAGATTATACCAAGAGGTGATGCTTTCCTGCAAATTAGAGCAATGATGAGTAGATGTTCAACTAAATTGAAGTTGTTTTAGTGAATTAATTAGTACAAAAGCTGTCTTCTCTATTTCAGTAATAAAGAGTTAATTTAAGCACTTTCAGTAATAAAGAGTTAATTTAACCATTTCACTTTTTTCTTTTCTCCTTAACACGCACCCATTGTTCCCTTCTTCCCAATTTTCCATTATGTTTAAGCATTATTATTCTCTTTTAGCTCAATGATTAGATGATTCTACGCTTATAAGAGATGTCTCCCTCTAATCATATACAATATGTTTGTATATTCTTTGTCCAGAAAAATTAAAAACCAACGATACTTGGCTTGTTTGTATAGGATGCTTCTTGTCTCAAGTAATCACATAAACTCAATTGCTTACAAGTCATAAGTTACTATATATCACTCTCTCCCTTTCCCTTATTAAAGATAGTTTGTATGGTTGAGAACATGGGTGCGAAAAAAAGGTGCAAGAAAAAAAAAATCCGAATCCATTGTAAAATATAGTAGTATGTATTCATAGTTATTTTGTTCCTTCTTCAAGATCTTTCTTGTTTGGTTTTCAAGATGTATATAAATCCTTATATACAATAGTATTGTATATAAATCCTTGTATACAATAGTTTGATCTTTCTTGTTTGCAATCTCTCAAAAATCTGGAACCTCGCCAGCCTCATTATTCTACTACATTATCATGAATAATTTATTAACTTTTACTATACTTGTGAGACAAAAGCTCGGGATGAATGCTGCTCCCTTCCTACAAGGATCATCTACATAAATTTCTCAGCCAGCGGAACAATTTCAGCAAGTTCCATGTTTCCGGTGCTTTGCTCAAATATCAGATTTCATCATCGGAGATTTTTTTTTTAAAAATAGACCTTTTTCAAAACAATATAAGAAAAATCAATCATTTTATAATATAACTAGCTAAATCGACCTCATTTTGTCAATTTTATAAAACTAAAGTTTTAAATTACATGGGACTACTAGTCTCGTGTAAATTTTAGCGTGGGCCGGGGAGAGGGAGCGGGGGGGGGGAGGTTCCAAATTTATGGCGACTAGTGGTCCCGTTGTAAATGCGGCCTTATATAACCACCACGCGCTCGTGCCCTAACCCCTATCGTGCCCTAACCCATATTGTACGGGCCAACTCCTAAAATCCCAACTTCTTGGCACCCTCTACGCTCGCTCTCCACCACACGACAACCAACCCCGCGTCCACCAAGCCTGCCTCCACATCTTAGTGCCACCTCTAACTCCACCAAGCCCGCCTTCACATCTCACTTCCACCTCCGACTCTACCAAGCTCGCCTCCACCTCTCGAGGTGAAAATTTTCTCTCTTTTCTTATGAATTTTGATGAATGATATGGATTGATTAGGTTAGGATTTAATTTTGATTTGAATGATATGAACTTTGATGAATGATATGAGTTATGATTTAGGGTTTAATTTGAATTGGGATATGAAATTTGTGGTGAGCATATAGTTTGAAGGTTTAATTTGAATTAGAAAATGAAATTTAATTTGCAATTTTTTTGGGTAAATTTTGATGGAATATATGGATTGCTTAGGGTTGGGGTTTAACTATAATTTTGAAATAGGATTTAGTTTTAATTGGGATATGAAATTTATGATAAAATTTTTAGGTTTTATTTTGTGAAATATGATGAATAATATGGATTGGATAAATTTAGGGTTTAACTAGAATTTAGGGTTTTAAATTTGATTTGATATGGGTAATCTGATTTCAACTATAATAGATTATTCCCATATGATGAAATGTTGATCATTTAGTTTCAATGGCAAACTCAATACCCGTTATTTACTTCTTCAATGGAAGCCTCGACATTGGAATGAATAGTATGCCTATACATGATGGAGGTTCTAGAAAAATATTTATGTTGTCTAAATTATGTAATTTCATTGGAATGATGAAGAAAATACACATAGTTACTAAAATTAATCTAAAGAATATGCAACTAAGGTATTCTTCAACTGTCTAATAAATGAGAATAGAACAATTTCCATAGAGATCACCAACGGTAAGGAGTTAAATGACATGAAATAGTTGGCCGAGAAGCAAGTGTCAATCAAGTTGTTCATTGAGAAGTATTCGGTTCTCAAAATTCCCCAAGTTTTGAAACCTCAAGGAGAGTTCTCCCGCATGCTTAGCTTAGACAATGAATTGAGTGGGTTTATGACATCTCCAAATGAAGAGCCATAGGCTCAATTAAAATATTTAGGTGGGCCTTCTCTTGGTGGAACTTCAAGTGCTATCTTTAATGATGCTTCTGGCCACGTTGCAGGTAATTTACTAGCCAGATCATTTATAGAAGAAGAAGAAGAAAATAATGACTCTGAAGATACTGAAGAAGATGACTTGCTAATTGATAGCATGCATTTAGCTACTAGCATCGATGAGGACCCCCATTGGATGGATTAATTTTATCTTAACAATGATTATGTGGAGTCTGATGATACATTGCTCGACGAGTTTTAAAATACGGATTGGATAAATACCTCTCAGGCTGAATTTGTTGATGTTGGTTCAAATTTATAATAGCCTGAAAAATTCACTTTTAGAAAAGAAGATCTATTTGATAACAAGGAGGCATTGATTTATGCAAGCCGAGAATGGTTCATCAAGAATCAGGTCAAATTCAAGTCAGTAAAAGCTAATGCAACAAACTATCAAATAAAGTGA